CCTCTGATGCTAACGCCAGCTTATCCATGCTAGTCACTAGCCTCTGATGCTAACGCCAGCTTATCCATGTTAGTCACTAGCCTCTCTCTTTTTAGGAAACAACTTAAGACCCACTTTTTTAAACTTGCTTTTTAGCGTAATACTGTGTTTTATTGTTTTGTATGTTGCTTTTAATTTATTTATTTCTTTTACACTTGTGCAGCACTTTGTGACCCTGGTCTGTGAAAAGCGCTATAGAAATAAAGTTTACTTACTTACTTACTTACTTATCAAAAACACATCTGAATTTCCAGCACAGTCACTGGCCTCTGTCTCTGAGAACCACATACCGTTTCAGACACTCCCACTTCTGCTAGTCTTCAGAATAATGCTTTTAGAGGAGGAAGGCTCTGTGGGGGAGGAGCTTTGTGTAAATAGGCGGAGCTTTGTACCAGCAAGTGTTTAGGCAGCTCCACATGACAGAGATTCAAGGATTTAAAACATGCAGGACTGAGTGAAAGCAACAGTCTGAGTGGGTTTGTGATGAGGGAATGACATCATCACATGATGTAAAACTCAAACTTCAAGATTTTTCCTAAAGCTTCAGGGAGTTTTAAGAAAAAGTTGACCTAATAGCTGCAGCACACCGGGGTCAGGTGGGAGGGGCAGCTTGTTCATGAGTGTGATTGACACGGATAAGACAACCCTCTGGTGTCTGTTTGTTTCTGACAGGGAGTGGTGTCTTTCTGTCTCATATTCTACTGTCAGACACAGGGACAGCTTTAACTCATGTCTTTTTAAAGGTTACCTGCTGCACCGTTCTTCTAAAACCAAACCAAGCTGACGTGTGTGTGTGTGTGCGTGTGTGTGTGTGTGTGTGTTGTGGTTGAGCTGCAGATGTTCAGTGTGCAGGAAGCTGTCAGTTTCAGTGTAAAGTCAGTGGCTGACAGGTACGATGTTTCTCTGTTTAAAGGTCATAGGACCACATTTCCTGTTGTTGTCAGCAGACTGGCAGGGTACACACCAGGTCTGTGTGGTACATACATACAGTAGACGGTAAAAATTTATACTCTACCGTCCTGTCGTCATTACATCATCACACCTCAGCAGGAGTTAGAAATATGAAGAAGAAATTATAGTGTTTTAAAACACATATAGAGAATAAATCCTCAAAATGTCCTCCTCCTGCTGTAGAAAAGTTATGTTGGGATCACCCCCCCCCCCCCCCACACACACACACACGTCACACAGAGTGAAGCTCAACAACTGTAGTTTTTAACACCCAAGATGTCAGAGAACAAAAAGGTTTTTATGTGTTGTTACCCACAGAGATTATTAAAAAAAAAGACGTGGACGTTCGTTCAGTCATAAATCCATGTTGCTAACGTAAAGTTGGTTTCTGCTCTGATGATGATGAAACAGAGGTGCCAACTAGGGCTGCCTCGATTAATCGATGACTAATCGATTATTAAAATAATCAATGACTAATTTAATAATCGATTAATAGTTTTTTTTACTTAGTTTTTCTCTCCAAACTTCTTTGACAGCTTCCACTGCCACATCTGCCTTTCTGTCCAGCTGAAGGTAGCTGTGGACACCAGCTGGTTTTCTTTAAAGCACACAAACAGGACAATGTTCTGCTGAAAATGGAGCAGTCAGAAGAAGCTGGCCTGTATTTTGACCTGTTCTTGTTGTTTTTTACAGCAGGTTCTGGTTCTAAAGCGGCCTCGCTGCACTGGACAGCAGAACGAGTACTGAGTGTGGTTCTCCTGGCCCTGGGCCCTGCAGCGTATTTTAACCCTGGTCCAGTGATGGATTACTCCCTGGCTGCTGCTCTGGTTCTGCATGGACACTGGTAAGAAGAACAAGTGTCAGAACATTAGACTTTATATGATAAACATTTATTTTAACTGTAAAATAAAGACTAGAAAAACTGTAGGATGGTTAGTTTTTATATTTAAAAATATATTTTAACACGGACGGAGCCGTTTTATTTCCACACAAAGCATTCTGGGTAAATGATGACGTGGATAGGTCCTCGGTGCGAGGCTGCTAGCGAGC